AAAAAAAAAAAAAAAAGAATGTAAAATTTGAGAGCAAGACTATTTTTACTAGGAAATAACAAGGTAAATTATTCTAGGCACTTCAAAAAACGTATCAGAAGATACTTCGAGAAAAAGAAAGTGCTTTAGAAGCAAAATACCAAGCAATGGAGAGAGCAGCAACATTTGAACATGACAGAGATAAAGTTAAAAGGCAATTCAAGGTAAATTCCTTACATTTTTACCCCCAAAGTGAAATGGAATAAAACAGTGTATTTTAAAAGTATATATAACATATAATGCGATGAATAAGTGGAAGTAAATCATGTAGGATTCATGAAAGTTGTAAGAATTAGTGTAGCGCATTTTCACATTTTTTAGTTGGACATGGTAAACTTGAGATAGTTTCAGAAAAAAACATATGAAAGTGACCATTTTAATAGTAATTTTGAAAAAAAAGAAAAGCATTTCTGTATGGGGAAAAAGCATTTGGAAATGTTTAGGGAGGTTTTGTTATTGGTGTTTAGTGAGATAGAGACAAATTTCCTAAACATCATGCAGTGCACATGACGGACCCACACCACAGACATGCATCCTGCTGGAATTCCAGTGGCTTCCAGTTGCAAAACAGTAAGGTAAAGGTACTGGGACATTCACCCTACAAAAGAGGATATCGAGGACCAAATGAATATTGGTTTTATGAATGAAATATTTTTCCCTTAAAGTTGATGACACAACTTTTTGATTATGAAAAAGCTCTCAAAATTAAAATATTCTTTTAAAGATTTTTAGAGAGACCAAAGAAAATGAAATTCAGGACTTACTGAGGGCCAAGAGAGAGTTGGAGAGCAAACTGCAAAGGCTACAGGCTCAGGGTATCCAAGTATTTGATCCTGGGGAGTCTGATTCGGATGACAACTGTACAGATGTCACTGGTAAGTGTATATCCTATTTCCATTTTGAGCTTTCAACATAGCTCTAATTACAGGTAGAGCCAACTTTGAATTCTGCCAGATTTCTTTTACTTATCTATATTAGGTCACTGCTTTAACTACCGTTGCAAATTGAGTTGTGCGTTCTCTCTGTCTGTCAGCTGCTAGGACACCTCTTCTCCACAAAATATGTGAATTTCGGGACTGAAGTTCCTTCAGCCTTGTGTCTCTGCCAACCCTAACCCATAAACTTTTATTCTCTGGACTAAGATAGCAGCCCCAGCTCCCACCAGTACATCTGCATTTCAGCCATGGAAGAGAAGAGGAGAGCACATTCCTTTCCCAGAAAGCACACCCTAAGAGATCAAGTCTTAAGTCCCATTAGTCAGAACTATACCTGGGAAGACTGGAAAGTGTAATCAGCAGCCAGGCAGACATATGTCCAACTAGAATGTAGGCTTCCGTTACTAAAAGAAGAAGAGGAAAATGGATATTGGAGTTAGTAGTCTCTGCAATGTTATTTCTTTACATAATGGTGTATTCTTCGCACCTATCGTTTAGAATACTTGTGTTAGAGTTCAGTGAGTGGTTTCCAGTATAGCTTTGTGAACCATTCAAAAAGTATTTGTTTTCTAATTAAACACATAAAATATGTTTTTCTGGAAATAAAGGCTTGAAATCACAGAATGAAAGGGTTTATATATTCTAAGAAAATATTAATAAAGTATGATTGATACTGAAAAAAGAAAAAGATTCTATTTTAATTGCAGTGGAAAATGTAGTCACTCTTATTTATAAGGAACTGCAAGTATATTCTCACAAGTGGATGCATTTTGGAGTAAAATATAGTAACTGACAGTTCTTCTTAATTTTCATTTTAGTATCATTGGAATCTGACCAAAGTCCTGGGATTTTTATTGCTAATTTTGGAGGAAAAAATATGAAATAATTCTTCATGGCCAAGAGTAACTGAGAAAATGCTTTTTTGTACCCCAACACAAGTCTTAGTGATTGTTTTAATATTGACATATTCAAATGTACAGTGTTTCAAAACTATTGTAATTGTCTTAGCAAGTTAGAAACAAATTCTTTTCTAGGTCTTTCTTCTTCATATTTCGATGTAAACATGAAGAAGGAACACTTGAGGGAATGTCACCCATTTGAGATTCTAAAAGCTACCAATAGTAAGCTCAGTTTTGTCAGAGATTTTGCCAGAGATTTAGCTCAGATAACAATAACAATTTACTTACAGTTATCAAGTAAAGATA